AAACAAATATAGATTTTTTTCACTAATATTTGTATTTTTGCATAAAGGGTAAGCGACCAAATAAATAAATAGAACCAAGTAACAACAATCCAGAGCACGTAACTTTGAAAAGTTATTCTTCCAATGTTTATGTATCCTCGTTCTTCGAATATTTATAGTTCTCTGTCCCTAAAAATACTCAAAGTAAAATAATTTATATACTTTAGATCTGCAAAGTTATATTTATAGAACAAACAAAATGAATATCCAAAGTTGGTTTAAACACCAAATAGAATCAAACACTCAATCATCCACCTCACGGCGTGGAAATGTCAGTTCAGGGTATTTACAAAACGGGATAGTCCTAAGAAAACAGGGAATAACTATGAAAACAGAAACGAGGAAGGATTTGATTTGGTCATAGGCATGGGGCTATTTTTTGTTCGATATTTGGCAGATTATAAGGAATAGGAAATGATCACATGCATTGGATGATACTTAATCTTTCTGGTGGTTGAACATTAATTATGCTAGTTCAGAACAACTAAACCTGTTGAGCGATAAATTCGCTTTATTAATTTAGCTTTACAAATATAAGAGGACATTATTACGATGATTGCTGCACTATAAAGCGAATTTTGTAAACTCAAAATTTAGAATTCTTATAAAATATAAAACTTGAAAAAAGATGTCTGGAGTTTGTTTGAACAAGTTACCATTATTGCTTTTAGTCGGCGCCCTTACGTTAACATAATCTGTAGACTTAATTGCTTTAAAAGGGCCAAAAGTAAGTTTTTTTGTTTGATTCATTTTAATAATAACTGTTCCTTGTATGCAGATATATCACATTATTATTTTGTTATAAGTTGAACATTAGTGGTTAATTACTAGCAATTAGTTTTGTTTTGTGTGGCACGTACTTTTTGTCCTTTTTGGGTGAAATTTAAACAGATAAAGAAAAATCTAACTTAACTAAGACAAAATACGAAAAAGAAAGGAAAAGGAAAATTCAATAAGAGAAAACAAAAGATTCACAAGAAGTTCTTGTTTAAAAAAATATGTTTTGTTCATAAGCTTTGTTTAAATGATTATGTTGTGTTACATATTTCTGGTAATAAAAGACGTCATAAACCATTTTGGTATTCATAGCTATTATTTTTTAACCTATTTTTGTGTCTGTCACAACCGACCCTCGGGTGTGGACTGTCGTGACATTCGCTCTACTCTTGTATAATTTGTTTTTATGACTAATTCATTGTATTTAAGGACAGTATTTGAGTATTTCCACGTAGACAAACATTCAAATTACCATTTAATTTACTTTTTTCTCAGCGAAATAGTAAATTATCAAAATTATTGCTGAAGAAAAAAGTGGCACATCCATACCCAGTTTCTCCACTACTATAATGAGTATATTGATATTTCAAATTAGGGAGATAAAATTAAAATTTAGCTATTTGCACGTAATAATAAAATGTGTTAAGAAAAGCAATTTTTGTTCATATAATTGAAAAACAACATAATTATTTAAATTATTAGTTTTTTACAGCAATTGTGACATTGGAGAGTTCTACCATTTTTTATACATAAGCATAAGCTTGCTTATGCCATTGAATTTAGGTTTTCAACTAAATGGCAGTTAACATTCGCTTATTTCGCTCCAAAAAAGCTTTCCATAGAATTCAAAAATCGCTCTATTATACATTGTTGTAATAATCGACCGGCAGCTAAATAAACAAGCCAAGAGTTCTCTATTATAATCTCGAATAGAGTAACACGTATCCCGAGGCAATATAGAGATTTACTGCGGCGGAATATGTTATTCTAGCGAATTAGTCTGCGAATTGAAATCTGCTCCTTACGAGAAATGAGAAATATTAAAAACATATTTGTATTCATCGCAGGTCTATAGTAACAAATAATATCAGTAATGGAGCTTACGAGGATTATTCTGTTAACAATGGGGTTGGACGATTATTTTTAATAGGAAAATATTAAGTTTGCCCTATGTACTGGAAGACTAGATATATTACACATTGCATACTATATCACTACCTTCTCAAATAAATTATAAGACTTAAATAAGTATTTATCAATCGCTTGATTCAGGACAATTTCAAATTTTATTTGTGTATTTGTAACTTTAGGCCAAAGTCATGGATCTCATTAAATAAAAAATAACCAAAATTAGTGGTGAGTTTATGGTCTTTGCGTGACCTTGACCTTATCAGCCTGATATCAAGCAGCGGTAATATCGGTTTTCACATGAATATATAGATAAGTTGGAAATGTGTTTCCAAGTGACAGAAGCCCTTGCTACTTAAAATTGAAAATTATTAGTGTTAGATCATTTTTAATAATAGAATATATCAAGCAGAGGTAGGACAATTGTTGGCTTGTCATCTAAGATCAACAATATTCATCCCAACAGCTCATAGGTAGGTTCTCATTTAAGTTCTGATGTTAAATTGTATAAAGAAGTTGTCAGATTACAGATACATCAACATTAAATTTATGTATATATATATATATATATATATATATTCTTTTTATATAAATACCAATCCTGTTGCATTGAATAGAAAAGATCAAGTGCACTGATGCATAAATCGAACGAGCTAAACGCAGGTGTTGCTAACTGCATTTCTTCTTATTGTAATAAGTACGTAGAGAATCATGTTCTCGCATTTAATTCATTCAAGACACGCCTAGATCCACCCCTGGGCGGCCAAATGATAATACTTCTATCCTATGTTCCATACAAATTTATCAAAAGATCTGCACTGAAAACTAGAATGTACCACGCAGTAGTACATTATGAAGAATTATTCTTCCAGGCTATGAAAATCAGCACATTCTAAACTCAAGATCTTGAGATTTATTAGATAAAATCAAATTATCGCTTAGAATGTGATGATGCAGTATTCTTGCTAAGGTGTTTGTGAGTAGGTTTCTAACGAAAAACCATTCTAAACTTAATCTCTGTTCTCTAGCAACAGATAAAGATCAATTTCCATTATACGTGCCCTAACAATACTTTGTGTGGAGATTATTGAAGCAGACGTTTAGAATGCGCAGTCCTTTTAACGAATCCTTCGAAATCCATCACATTCTAGGGTTCAATCGCCACAAATAATTTGGTCAACCTCACAGGAAATGCCTTTGAATAATCGCTCCAGGCAAGAAAGCAGTTTTACCGTCTCATTTTTTTCATGTCATCTGGTTCAGGATAGAGAGGAATGGGACTACTAACATTTGATGTGGAATATTTTCGTTTTGTAGTTTGGGCGTTTTGTACTATTGCGCGCTCATGCAAACATTTGTTATTGTTAAGGATTAGTCTGACATATTTAGAAATACATACGACCCGCATGAAATAGAGGGCAAACAGAGATTAGCAACCTAAACTCTACTTGTTATAAAAATATATGCGTGTGTGCTTTGTATAGTTAAAATTTTGATCAATTATGTATATAATCTGTGTTGATGAGTACACAATTTCTAACATTTGCGACGGACTCATAAACTAAATCTGCTCTCTCAAAAAATTGTTAAAATCATTACAATTGCAATCACTAATTAAATCATAATTACCGACAGATTTAGCGTTATATACTAGAGCCAATTATTTTTATTGTATCTATAATATTTTTTTCCAATTTGAATAATATAACTACTGATAATTATATATTGATAAAAACTCGCTTACAATGATAAGATCGCATATTGAAAAGTATGGAATTTTTTTTTGTATGAAGTTTTGCCTCTTAAGATTTTATAAATTTCAATCTAAACAATTTTATTTGATAAAGGAAATTTAACGTCTTCTCTGACTTTAATTCATTTAATTTTTTCACACACCGCTGCATTTTATTATATTTTTTTAATATAGCTGCATTTTACAGTTAACATTCGGGCTTTAAAGAAAAAAATCTAATTTCAGGCCTTTCGATATCTAATATGCTTATCCACTATTTCGACTAAGCCATTCAGGTTGCCCCCGCCTGAACTAATTCTCTATTCTTTATTGTTGCTCCCTCGCACGAGACGAATTTATTTGAATTTATTCGAAAATCATTTGAATGCACCATTATGTAGCGCATTTTGAAGCTCGGAATTCCAAAATATTGAAATTGTTTAATGGCATAGAAATCCTTTCATGGTTTGGATGCACAGTATTGTTGTGGAAATTTGAGTATTTAATAATTTTTCATTTTTAAAAAGCCGAACGTCTTGAGTTCGGTTATGAATTCACTCATCTCGTATTTTTGCTTTTATTCATACTTAATGGTTGTATATTTACTTTTTGTTAATATTGTGCTTTTTTAATGGCTTCTTTTGCTGTAATAATCATCTGAAAGAGAATTTATTAACCTTATGATTACTATTCGCTTAAGGTAATAATATTTAAAGAATTTAATTTTTACTTAATTTTTTATTGCTAGTAAAGCTAGGTGATTGGTTAAAGCGAAGGGATCTGAATCAAAGGTTCGATACTCAAACAGCCTGATCTCGAGTAGTAGTGACATCGGTTTTCACTTGGAATAATAACATCAATAAAAAATTCAACAAAATCCATTCAAATATTATAGAAAATATAATAGTGAAATTGATCATATAGTGATGGGACAACTGTTTGGGTTGCCGGCGTATATAAAAAAATAAATGTTGTTGGTAATTCATCATAACAGCTCTTAGAACCCTTAAATCTGAAGTCTTATGATCGCTTTTTAAAATATATTAAAAAAATCGTAACACTTGATATAACTATTGCTTTGAATGTAATACGCACTGTTTTTTTGCAATCAAAATTTTAGCATTCTATGAATTATGAAGAACTGCCGAATATCATTATGGTAATAATTGTACTGAAAATTTCCAGGACAGCATAAAACCAAGTAAATATTTAGCATTTTCTATTTATTTGTTAAATTAAATACTACATTGTAGTAAAATATTCGTAATTGTTCATTAGACAGAAGAATAATAAGTTGCCATTGTCATTAAGTGTTTGATGCTATTTAGAAGCAGGAGCTGAGGTTGGGGCGGGTAGTTTGGCACTTGGCTTGCCATCCGTACCAAGCAGTGAAACCATGACGTTGGTAGATCAATTTAGCGCATTTGGAGGCTTTGGTAATGTCGTTGGTGGTCAGATCTGAAAATAGGAGAAGTCACATTAGACAACTATTCTCCGTGAACTTTGCGTCGCATGTATCAAAATAATTCAATGTGCTAATAAATATATTAAGTATACCTTCACATTTGACGTTGCAATCTTTTCCAGCAACACCATTTGAGCACCAATATTTATTGTTGATTTGGAAAAGTCCGTAGTCGCGGGATCCGTTGCTGTTCGCTGGACCAACAGCAGCGGTGTTGCGGGAGCTTTCAGCTTCCACCAAGCATACCCCTATAATTTTAATAAAATACATAAAATAAAAAAATTGTCAGTAAACGTTTCTTATTAGAATTATTTTCTCCTGAAAATAATTACACATTTTCCAAATTGAGCTTATTACTATGAATTATGAGTAGCAATCTTGGAATGTAAAACAGTAGACTTCTTTAAAGCAAAATATTTATCTTTTTTATATATAATGAAGGGTACATGTTTGGTATCGTATTTAGTTTGGGTAGGGTGGGGCACAAAGATCCAATTTGACTTTGAGCAATTATATTGTGAAAAACGAATCAATTATATCACAACAAATATCAAACAACTATTTGACTATGTTCAGTAAAAATCGCAGCTAATTCATTATTTTAGAAATATGTTTTTTTTCTGTTTTTTTCTGAAATTTGAAACCTGGTACTTTTAATGTATAAGTAGGATAAAGGATAAACTTTGTTTTTGAGATATTAGTGGTGGACCTTTAAGCTCCGCTAAACCCTACCAAATCTATTATGTTCAAAATTAAATGACTTTGAAAAAAAAAACTATTATTTATTTTGCAGATATTTCTTGCTCTTTGCCCCTTTTGCCCCCTTTCAGTGCAATAGAGTAAAAAAGAAATAAGAACAAGTAGCAAACATGTCATCCTACACAATAACAATAAATTTAAAGTGAAATTGAAAAAAAACTAATTTGGATCAATTAACAAAATCATTGCAATAATCTTAATAAATTGATAATATGTAAAGAAAAATGTAGTGTCTACTTTGTCCTACAAATAATTTGAAAAGTAAAACACGCTAATTTATAATTATTAGTATTAGTGTAGTTGAAAATGATCAACAGATGAAATAAAATATTAAAATCAAAAACATAGTTGAAAAATTATAATATGAGATGAAAATTATAAAAGGTAAAATATATTAGAATATGTTCATAAACTTTTACAATATTGTCACTTCAATAATTATTACTTACAATGATCCAATTTAGTTTTAGGGAACCCTTGTTTCAATAACTCTTGAGCAAGTCCGCACCTTGTGAAAATTTTGGCTTCAGCCATTGTTGCAACAAGTGCAACGGCAAAAAATAAAACAATTTTCATTTTGAATTTTATGACAAATATGAAACGAAGAAGGTAATTTATGTTAAAACACTATAATTAGTTTTTCTGCATCTTGGTTTATATAGGCATTCAAAACAATGAGATTAGATAAGCCATTAGACAAATACAGCATTTGCAATCTTTTGATTAAATATACATATTGGTCTTCTTTTATGTGGAGGTAATATGATGAAATCAAAATTTGGTGATTTCCGCGCGATTGTATACTAATAAATAATTAAATTTTAATCAAAGCAAATGATTAAATCTAATTACGTACAAATGTCTTCAATTAGTAATTTGAAGATGATAGACATAATTTAATTTTTGTAATTAAAAATAATTATTTTAAGATCTCCATGCTACAAAAATAATATTCCCGATAATCTTTGTTTAGAACAAGAACTTTAAACTTTGACTAAACATACCCATAAATAAAAAAATAATAAAAAATAATTAGATATAAGTCAATGTTTGATTTTCAATTTTAATTCCAATCAATCTACAGTAAGTACTTACAAAACTAAAATCTTACAAAGTCACCATAGACATATTATGTTATTAACCCTTTCGACACGGATGTCGTCCCTAGACGACATGTTGTGTTTGCCTTTGCTTTAAGATCTTTCACTATGAGTTAGAGATTTCTAGTTTATTATTGTAATTTGTAGTTCATTAAAAGCGTAATTTTTAGTTTTTTAATACATTTTTATTGATAATATTAAATATATCTTAAAATAATATAAATGAGATCTGTCAAATAGCAATCTGTATATTCTTATACAATGAATGCCAGTTTTACAACAGTTTTATTTAGATTATTAAAAAAAACCTTTATAAGAACCCTATTATTAAAAAATGGTTGAATAAAACCTTGAACTTTAGCTGAAACGTATAGAGTCTCTACTGTAGATATACTATATAGTACATAATATGTCTATAGTACACATATAGTAGTAGTATATACTATAGACTTAAAAAATATATATAGCTAATGGTGATGGCATCGTGCCATGGCAAATTGCCTGAACTTCCCGTGCCAAATATTTAATTTTTTAAAAATGCTTTAAATTTTTTGAAAACTTTGAAAAAATTAGATAATTGTAAATTTTGATATTTTTGATCAATTTTTTTTTTTTTGAAAATTTCACTTTTTTGAAAAATTTGAAGATAGAAACAAACGGATAGAAATGTAAATAAAATACTTATTATTAACCTCTCTATAAAATATAATATTTTTTCACTTGAGTTCTTCATTTCGTCAATACAAATAAAATGTTTCTTGAATCGTTTAAATTGGACACTTCGTTTTTTCAAAATTGAACTGCCCATCTTTTGGTTTTTGACTCGTGTTTTCGAAACGGTTAAATTAGCAATGAATTATACGTTACACTACTAGTTTTTAAGTGACGGTAAAAGTCTAATAATTTCTATAAAATTTTGCAGAATTTGTTACTACTACATACAATAAATATTCCACGATTTAATTTGATGAAGTTATGTATTTCTAAACTCTGTAAGAAGGAGCTAAATGACCATCCGGTCAAAAGTCATAAATAAAAAAAATATTGAAATTACACTTGAGTTTTAAAATCATTTGATCAAATTCAATGAGTGGTTAGGGGCAAAATTTATAAATCAAATATGAAAATGATCAGACATATACATTGAATGAAATATATGATGATGAAAGTTGATAGAACTTTTACTATAATGAAATATATTGATTAAATTCTTACAATGGTCCAATAAATTCTTATCAAAACCTTGTTTCAGTAATTCTTGGGCCAACTCGCATCTTGTGAATACTTTTGCCTTGGACATAGTTGTTGCTAGAGCAAAAACCAAGAGCAGAACAAATTTCATTATAATTTTTTAGAAATGTATAGTTACGAATAATTCGTGAAGAAACACTACTACGAACTTTTTTTGTCCTGGCTTATATATGTGCACAAAAACATATAAAAATATATGTAAACATTTGCGTTGCAATGTAAACTATGTTGCATTATATAATTACAAGAGCTATACCATATTTTATACTTAGATAATGAAATATGGCCGTAAATTAATTTTTTGTGATTCCTTTCTACGCATTTCGTGCTATGTAACAATCGACTCTTAAACTTTTGAGAAACTATAATTATTAATGTATTAAATAAATAGTGGAATAACACAAACATTGGAAATAATAAATACTGTAAATAAAATATAAAACCTTCAACAGTTCATTAAATTAAATGAAAAAATTAAATTTTGAAATATATACATAATAATTATATGTAAATGTTTTTAGATTTTGATATATTATTAATGCATAGAGATTTTTATAATTTAATTCAAATAAGATAAAATAAAAGCAAGTTTTCAATTAACTAATTATTAAAACATGGATTAGTCTAAAAAATAATACCAATATAAATTTCGCGAAAAACTCGAATAATGTTTATTTATCGATATCTAAAAGAACCATTCTTACTTGAATTTCAAAAATATTAAAAATTAGTGCAAAGTAATAACAAAAGGTGATACTAGTATTTTGTTCAGTACATGGTTTTTTAGTATTGGCCAGTGTTGTGACAGAACCTGAAAATTTTCAATTTTTTATTATTGGGCAAAATATGTTCCTAACTGAACATAGCCTTTTGTGGCATTTCTGCGATGAAAATTGAGCCAAAAATACCAATTTGAACTATTTAACAATTTAATAGCTAATGTTGGGTTTTAATATCCATCTGTAACAACTATCAAAACAAATATTTTTATTAATGTTAAATTGTCTTTATGAAACAGATAAATTGTATTTCACCTGCGAAACAAATTAGATAATTTTTTGATACGTATATGCAGAAAATAAAATCTATTGTATAGTTGATATTGTGTTTTTTTCCAATGATTATATCTTATCTATGTAGTAAATTTAGAAATAGATTGCGGTAATTCACCGTATGTTACTGTAGTTATTATATATTTATTTATAATAGCCAATTTAAAAAAAAACGATTTGAAGCACTTGCACTGTATTATCAATGAAGTACATCTCATAATGAACATTTCATATATCCTAAAATAATTTTGAAAAAAGTATAGTAGTTTGTTTAATTGCCTAATTAGCTTTCCTGATATGCTGAACTAAGTTCTCACATAGTAAGATTGAATACCATCCTAGATTGATTATTTTTCTAAATTACGGGAAGATGGACTGTACTCACAACTGTTAAATATTTAAATACAAAGTCTAATTTTTATCTAATTAATATATGATTTTAAATGCAATATTAATTATAGCAATATTAATTCAAAACCTAATTTTAATTCAATTTGTTTTTTTTTTCATTTTTCCGTCGTTTGCTCGTGAGTCGTGAAGTGTTTTCTTCTCGTCAGTTTTCTTATCAATTTTTTACAAATCTTTTTATTTTTTTAAATTATTTACTAACAACTTATCCTTGACAATTTTTTCAAGTATAAATCATTTTTAACTTTCTTTAGGGTAGCTAAGGATTCTAATAAATCTTTACGTTTCAAACCTTCTAAACATTTTGGCATACCTTAGAAAAAATGGTTGTATTTATGTATGTATGTAAGAATGCATGTATGTGCGGATACAACTTTTCGTCGTCAAAAACTGCTCAAAAAATGCTTTTAAAAACTTTAATTTACGGTACGAAATATTCCAGCAATTTGCCTTAAGGCACGATTTCATGCGCCACTAGATCTGTTTGTATATAGTACTCGATCGGGATTCGATCTGAGTACCCCTTTAAAATTTATTACAACAGATTCATATACCGTCAGCTGATATTGATATACAAAGTTGCTTTGACTAATCCAGCACGCCGAGGATTATAGTATGTCACTATCGCTTTCTCACGACTAAAAACACGTTTTACGACTACTTAAATAGGAAAGTCTCTACACGGTTTTTAATAGTATTATCAACACATATAATATCCTAACACGTATTACTTGCCAAATATTTATATGCGGAAAAAGATATCAATCGGAGGTAGATAGGCGTGCTTTTTTGGATTCACAATATCAGATTGTAACCTCTTGATCTATCATACGATCGTATATATATATATTAGGGTGGTCCTTAAAATGGTCATTTTCGAATTTTCTTGCTCCCAGGGGCTCAAATGGTTCCAAATAGATAAAAAACAATTCTCTGAAAGTTTTAGCTCTTAATATTAACGTTTAGATAGAGCGCAATTCAATCAAAGTTTTGTATGGAAATAGCATGGAAATTTTTTCAAAAATTTTAAAAATGTTTTTTAGATGTAATTTAACGAACAAGTGAATGAATAAAACTCATTCATTTGTCGCTAAGTTATGCCTAAAACATTTTTTTTAAATTTTCAAAATTGTTTCCATGCTATTTCCAAACAAAACCTTGATTGAATTGCGCTCTATCTAAAAGTTAATATTAAGAGCTGAAACTTTCATAGAATTGTTTTTTATCTATTTGGAACCATTTGAGCCCCTGGGAGCAAGGAAATTCAAAAATGACCATTTTAAGGACCACCCTAATATATATATATATATATATATATATATATATATATCGAATTTTAATTTTACCAGAAAACCGGTTTTAGCCGGTTTTCGAATTTTATATAGAAAATAAATTTTTGCTCGAATTTTCTGTAGTAACAAAAATTTATCCGCAAATTTAGTGCGATTTAAAGCAGTTTTTGACTGAATTTATTTATTGTTCAATTTTTCATTCAATCAATTTATTAACTTCCCGTAGGGTAAGTTATTGTAATGGGTCGAAAATCGAAATTGAAAATTTTTACATTTCTCGACGTTTTGAACGTTTCTCAACATTTTGGCATACCTCAAAATCAGAAAAAATGCATGTGTGTGTATGTATGTATGTATGGATACAATTTTTCGTCCACGTTTTCGAGCGCACGGATCAACAAAATGGTTCAATGGTTGATTTGAATGGTTCAAAAAACATTCGATTCTTATTGATAGGGAGATGTGCTGATTAGTTTTTGGCAAAGGCAGGTCCAGCAGTTACGGAGACAAAGAGCAATGAGTGCAGAAAATAGAAATCGAGTTTTTGAGAGAACGGAGCATCCGATTTGAATGATCTAAAAATCATTCAATTAGTAATGATTGGAAGAAGTGGTTATTAGTTTTTGGAGAAGGCAGGCCTAGCCATTTCGGAGATACAGAGTTAAATGTGCAAAATATGGCAGTTTTTGAGAAAACTAAGCGTCTGATTTGAATAATTCGAAGAACTTTCTGCTTGTTTTAACAAAATAATTGATTTTGGAAAAAAAAATTTTTTGTTCAATTTTGTTTTTAATTATTTTTTTTTAGTTTTTTTTTGTATAACGAAAATAATTCAGATTTTAATCGTAATTCTGCCAAAAGTTCTAATGTACTTTAAACAAATATCTTTAACTTTGCAATTCAGTTTATATAATTCTTATAAATATTAGACAATGTTACAATATTTATAATAATCTATTTGAAAACATTCAATATTTCTCGAACATTTCGTTACGGTACGGGGGAAGTTCCAGCAATTTACCTTAAGGCACAATGCCATACACCCCACTAGTTTTAATTTTAATTAGTGGAACAAGGAAATAATAGTTGATCTGGATTAAATAATTTAGAAAATGATTATTCGTTTCCCATGATGTAAAAAGTTAGCACACTATAGAATAAAATGTTATTTTTTATTAATTACTACATTATTCAGATGTTGGAGTATGAACAAATTTTATAATATCGGCAAGTAGTATCGATTAGAGTATGTTGTCCTGGATCACTACAGTATTCCTTATGATAGACATTTCAACATGGATTAAAATTATTTTATTTATTAAAACAAACATCAATTTTTATATTCCATATTCGTCTCATTTTGACTCTTATAAAATAAAAACAAAAAATTCCTATTGTCTGAAAATCTTTGAATTTACAACGCAAAAGCAAAACTAAACTTCTGATTTTTTTTATAATTACACATTTTACTATTATTTTTAGTGTTTTAATAGATCTGTGGTGATCGTCGCCATTTTTATTCGGACCGGATTTTGCTATCTAGTATCTATCTAGCCTCCAATGCAAATAGTCTATTTTATTAGTATAAGTTATTTAGTTATTGCTAAAATCAGTTAAGATATATTTTTGCTATTAGGATAGCAATGGGGTTGCATTTTAATAAATTATATATCAAATAGATAGATCAACCATTGAGTTGCCTTTTCAAAGCTTGGTAGCAAGGGTTAAAGGGGTAGCAATTAATCACAAAAGCATATGGAACTGTTGGTTTTGATTGTTGTTCTAAAACAAACAACAAAAAATATTGTTTTTATCGATTATAGAAGTGTGATTGATAATTAACTAGTTGATAAAAAGTTATTTACAACTGTTGGTTTTTGACAACATTATTATTGAACAATTTTATCTTATCTGGATTCTATCCGCGGGAAATATAGGTTAAGTGTGTGTCACCAATTAGTGTTAAAAGTGATTACAGTTTGTGTGTAACATTTAATAAATACAAAATGAAACTTTTGATTTTGTTTGCAATTGCTTTGGCAGCAACTTGTGCCGAAGCTAGAATCCTTACCAGATGTCAAATTGCTCAAGAGTTGTCAAAACAAGGTTTTCCAAGAGATTTACTTGATCATTGTAAGTACTACTGATAATTGTAACTGATATGATAATTTTATGTAAATATTGTATCTAAAACAATGATTGTGATTGTAAAATAATTTACGGTAGCATATTATCAAATTAAAACACGATGATATCTATGTAGTTTAGGTTAAATATATTTTCACAGTAAATTGATAAATATCAAACGACGTAGGTACTTCACTTTGCAAAAAGATGAA